CTGTACGGAGAATGCTTTCACACTTTTATACTTGTAGTGTAAGGGAGTCAGAGACATGCATAACCAGTAGGACCAGTTTCACACTGTTGCTGATGGTCTGAGTGAGGTATATATTCTAAATATGTTCAAAATCTTACACAGTTGTTTAGGAAATAAAAAAGCATTTTGAATGAAAACTAAATTCAGACAGGTTTCACAAGTCTTTTATGTTGTGATTTCTAATGCTTCTATGTCTGTCTATAAAATATCTTATATATAAAATATCTTAATATTGTGATTTGTCCTTTGTGTCTATGGACTTTGGAAAGTGTATGCAGTAAGTAAGTACACAGAATATAGCGTGTGGAGAGAGAGTTGGAATCTACATTACAGTTGCAATCTGTGTTAAAATAGTTGATAGTTGTGTTTTAGGTTCTGCAAAAAGTGTTTTGTAGTTTTGATATAAATGGCCCTATATTATGCAAAATTGACTCTCTGTGATCTTTAAGCCATGTTAAAATGCTGTTACCGCATCAAAAGAGTTTTGTTTTCAGTTTGAGAGAAGAACTCGGCCTAAATATGCAGGTTTGTGCGTTAAACGTGTGAATAACTAGGAACCCTCCTGCTCATTTTACAGGATGGGAGGTGATGTTGCAACAAGTATTTAAGTGCACCTTGTCCTTCACAAATGGCATTTCAGAAACAGCTCCTGAAACTCACGACTGGTTTGTCACCTCTGCTTGCTACCTTTGCTTTTTCTGAAATGCAGAATCATATTAACAATATTTTTTTCACAGATAAAATGGAAGCAGCTCCTAAAAGGGTTTTCATCTGTCTCCCAAAGAAACACATTGCCGAATTATCCAAAAATTATGATTTGGTAAGTTTAAATGTTGTATCCAAACATTGTGCTTTTTAAGAACATTTTTGGTAATGTTGTTATGTTTTCCAGGAACATGGGTTATTTGTAAAAGGTTTGAATCCCTATTTGAATGAGGGATATGTTCAGGCGTATTTTAGAGAATGGGGAAATGTCACCGGTTGCAAGGTAAACAGTGGTATGCTTGACTGGATTCTCATTTGTTTGAATATTAAAACAAATGATAATCTATATATTGTTGTTTTTTTGTTTTTGTTTTTTTTTCAAAATCTTAGATAAAGAAAGCCTCCTCAACTGAAAACAACAAGGCACTGGCATATGTGAGGTTTGCAAGTGAGAAAGAAGCAGACATAGCTGACTGGAATGGCCCTCACTTTATTGGAGGAACTGAAGTGACCGTAAAAAGAGTGGTTAGTCCTAAGGTGAATCAACAAAAAAATATTTAATCAAGTTGTAATCCTTTATTACTGTTCATATTATTTATATTATTTATTATAGCCAAATGGTACACATAGAAATATTGTATTAGGATATGGATTGTATGGGGGTATTTTATTTATTTATTTTATTTGTACTAGTAATGCAATAAGGTACCATACTTGAACAATACTTTTATACAGAAATTACATAAAAATATACATAAATTCTACTAAAAACTTTTTCTTTGATCCTTGAAGAAAAAATACATAGCATTAATTTGTAATGAAGCTTCCTATTAATGGGTTTCAGCTCCAAGTTATATGCAACATTTTGAGGATCTCTTCACATGACCTCACAATTATATTTAATACAGATGAGGCAGCTAAATTAAATAATGTTAACACGTTGATTTCTGTTGTAAATAGTGACTTTCTGGCTCTAGTCACTAATAGAAATGATCAGATTCATTTGTGAATTTACCTTTTGAATATTTCATGGGAAAGTACGTTGTAATCAATGGGGGAAAAAATTACTTTTGACTCCCATCTGCGATTATGACATAAATACACTCAAGAATCTGAAAACTACCAACTAAAAAGACAGAATATTTTGTTTTAAATTGTTAATCACTATGGCAACAGTTCTAGAATTAGTCAATATAATAATAATAATAATAATAATATAATAATAATAATAATAATAAATATAGCCGCAAGCGGCAATGATCGGCCCTCGCGCGTGCTTACGCCGCGCTACGCAAACACCGCACCCCGCAAATGCTGCACCTCACACTGACCCTAATAAGCATAAAATTAAACTTTACCCTAATCGTAATCCTAACCCCAACCCTAGCCCTTTAAATCTTAATCTAACCCTGCAATTTTCCAAATTTGGCCAAAAAAAAAAAAAAAAAAAAAATCAAAGATGGCGGACTTCCGGTTTGAAAGGGGGGTGGTCACAATATACATTTTTGTTCTTATTGCCATGATGCAAAAAACTCCAAAGTTTTTGTAGGGCGTCCTATTGGCGAAGGCAGATGTTTGGCCTGTTGCCATGGTATCACGATGGGAAATGGCATGGGGTCGTCATTGACTTTTTTGATCAAGACCATGTCATGAATCTGTCTACCAAATTTTATATATCTACAACAAAGTAAATGTTTGCAGTACCATGCAATTTCCCTAGGGGGCGATATTGTGCCTGTCTGAGATTTTCTTATATAAATCTGTTCAGGGTCGGGGTGTCAATCAACGATTAAAATTTGCATGAAATCGGCCAAAGTTTTGTGCCAGAATTTGTAGATTTTACCAATGGAGAGTTTATGTCATCGCTATGGCAACGCCATAAAAAATATGACATGGGTGTCATTGACTTTTGGATCAGGATGCCAAAATGGAATTTTGTGCAAAATTTCAGAAATTTTTGAGCAACTATTTGGGAACAAATGATTTTCTTCCATATTAAAATTTGTTTCAATCTATAGGGGCGCTAATACGTCAAATTAATAATTTTCACATTAAGTAGCTTTAGGGCAGAGAGTTTAACAAATGTTTCAAATTTCAATGAAATCAGAGTTCGTTTGAGCAAATGGGAGCAATTTGTAAATCTCCTAAATTGTGTGCATTTTTTGTTGCTTCACTGCTCAGAGACCATAAGACAAACTATACATTTTCGGAAACCTCAGGTGCATTGCTACGTGATCGCGAGGGTCCCTGGTCACTACGGGTGAGTCACATCGCGCCATTCCATTTTTCGGCCACTTGGAGCATCGCTTTGCGAAAATAATAGGCCCTTCGCCAGCCTCTGTCGCTCGGGCCTAATAATAACAATATTTCTGAAAGTCATGGATAACTTTCTATAGCTTATTCTTGTTGTCAAAATAAAAATATAGTTATCTTGGTAGCTTACTTTTTAACAGTACCCAGATCAATAATTAGACATTGCTGGTTACATGTGGTTAGTCCTGTTCAACATCTTCCTCTTGTTTCAGGTGGAGGGAGAGAAAGAGGAGCAGGTGGCTGCAGTGGTGACTAAACCTCGGCCACGGCGTTCCATGGGTCTGGGATACATACTTGAAGATGCCCAATGGTTAGATGATGAGCTGGAAGAATAAACCAGAAGAAAATATTTTTAATGTTTTACTTTGTACTATTCAATGATGCCATTTAAATCTGCTATAGACTACTCATAATTTATATAAAGCTCTTTTATATTAACTGCAGCGGATTTTATATTTGTCTTTGCTGCATTTGTGGGTGACAATAAATGTATCCATATGTTACATGTAACTACATTTTTTTCACATCTCATAATGACATTTCCATTGTAGACAAGGCACAACTGCTGGAATGATAGCCTAGATTCTAGAAAATTTAATGATGACTGATATTGAAGTTTTATTATATAGGCCTATTTTGGAAGGGAAACAACATTGGGGATCTGGATCTATGTGCTTTGAGAATTATTTTATAATTATAGTCTGGCTTCTTGAGGTCCTAGGTAGCCTAATAATATAGACAAACTAAAACATACATAAAAATAAGTGACTTCAAAGAGTTTAATTTCTTTCTTCCAATGTTATATCCAAATAAAGGCTCTTTATGAGAGTGTGTTGTTTACACAGACCTTGACATCCAGGCATCTGAAACATGTATGTGTATGTGTAAACAATAGGGGGTGTAACGGTACGCAAAAATCATGGTTTGGTATGTACCTGGATTTTGAGGTCACAGTTTGGTTGAGTATGGGAACAAAATGTAAAATCAGTTGTTTATTTGTGTGTTTATTAAACCAACAATTTGTTTTAACATTATACAAAAGGGAAAATAAAATAAATGCAAAGTGCTGCTTTGTAATACCAATAAATTAAATAAAATCTTCTCAAATAAACAACAAATATATGAAATATTATTATTATTTTTTTTAATGCATTCCTTGTAAACAGTAAACAAACTTTTCAAAAAGTAAAGCACTGCACAGATTGCGGCGCGACCACCGTAGTTTTGCGAGAATTCATGTGGTTCGGAGGGACGTAGTCGGGGGGGGGGCTGTTGTTGTCAAGGCGGCCACCCTAACTATAAAGCTGCAGGAAACACTGCCACCCCAATCAGGGACGAGCTCCCTGTAAATATTAAAGAGCCGGGCCTTCCGTGTAGCTGCACATGTAGTGGTGGAATGTAAACACACACAAATTGTGCGAATTCACTTGTGCACCGCCCCGTACTGAAGCCCTGTACTGAAACGGTTCAGCACGAATACATGTACGTTACATCCCTAGTAAACAACACACTGATCTGTCAAAAATAACCTTTATTTGGGTAAAAAAAAATAATAAGTGGTCCCTAGTGTGTTGGCTAATACTGTATGTGCCACTCACATACAGTTCTCCTCACTTGTGTTGAAGTGATATTTTGTTATAGGTCGAAAAGTATGAGGCAAGTCACAACTAAACGGTCAACAAATGCTCGATAACCTCTTACGATGAGAAGACGAATACCTTATGTGAATCATATTCATGTTATATTTACATATTCTAAAATTATATTCACAAAAAACAGCACCAGAGGAATTCAGGCGACCGCAGCGAGTCCAGAGCAGTGATTGGGTCTGACTAAAATGGTAAATGGTCACATTTTTCTATAGCGCTTTTCCACCTTCAAGGCACTCAAAGCGCTTTACAACAAGGAACCACTCACCCAGACATTCACTCACACATTCACACACCAGTGTACGCAGACACAAGATGACGTCATAGTCCTGAGCCAATCGTTTGCAGAGCGCCAAGAGCCTCTCATTGGAAAACATGGCGGACATGGAAACAGAAATAACATTTAAGAAGGTAATCTTGTGTATTTTCCTTTCATACAGGCGCTTAAGCATGATTTCTGAGCGAAATATTGAGCCATAAAGTACTGAGCAAATATCTAGTCGCTTAGGCACAAATCCTAGATTATAATGGATTGTACATACGGTCTTTTATGGGCAAGATTCGAGAGGTTATTTGTCTCTTTGCACATTTTCCGAACCCTTTAAAAAATCTGACAGATGTCCACGCTTTACCAACACAAGAGGTAAAACAACTGAATGTTTGATGAATCTAACTTTGTGAACAAAAATGTTAAACACTCTCGTAAAAAGGGCACGATTGGTTAAAATGTAAACACGCCTGGAGCATTGTTAGATGTGTAGTCTGAAAGAGTCAGAGACCTTTAGGGCTAGTTTCACACGTATTTAGGTAACAAAAAACCTGTGATTTTAGTTTTTTAACTGTCAGCTTTAAATTGTCTGAATGAAACCTCCCACAGGTTTTCACTACTGGAGTCTTTTGCATTGTTTCTAGTGCCTCTGTGTCTGTCTATAAAATATCTTCATATTGTGATGCCTGTGTGTTCAGTTTTGTCTTTGCAGTATTTAGGTACGCAGACTATTGATACTCTGCAGTGACATCACGCTGGGGGTGTTCTACATGTATGTGTATGGCAGAATCAATTCATCAGTTACCATGCTGACACAATGTACACTTTAGCAAAGACAGCCAAAAACGTTTTTGATAGTCTGAAAACTCAAGAAAAAAAGGGATTGTGATTAGTATGAGCATCCATGGTTCTGTTCAGGTGTTTGATTTTCAACAAAAAGGAGAAAATTATTATTTGACAAACTGTTGGCTAATGTGTAATGTCTGAGAAGGACCTGTTTAACAGCACAAATCAGATCACCTGTTGTAGTTCCAACTAAATCAGTTCTTTATGGTCACATTATGTTAAAATAAAGATCAGATTAAGACTCAAATAGAGCATGCTTGCAGTTTGCATGACACCTCCAGGGAATATTGATGACATCAACGGCAAAGTATCAATAGCAGGTACAGAGTGAGTGTTATTGTTTTTAAAATAAATTGTTGTGTTCATTGTGTTTCAGGCACTGCAAAAAATGTTGTAGCTTTTAAATCTAAGTTAAGGTTTGAAAATGTTTAAGGTTGTGCCAACATGAATAAGTGAGTGTTTGCTCTCTGAGTGGCCGAAATTTTGATTTTAGTGTAGATTAAAGCAAAAAAACTGTAAGCCAGTCCTAGGTAATGAATAGTAAAAACATGGCTGCCTTAATTTTAACTTTCTTTAATTGTTTCAGGAGACTGTAAACAAACTCTTGTCAAGTTTCTTCAAAGAGGACAAGACAAAATGTAAGTTTACTGCAAAGAGTTCATATTATATGTTTATCTTAATCTTATCATGAAATTGTGTTGCAGTGAGTGGCGATGCAGTGGTGCTCATGGCAGAGATGTTAAAAATATTTGTCCAAGGTAAGTTATAGGAATTGCCTTTTACACTTTTTTGCAAATGCGTTTTATTGCCTATACAAAGTTTCACTCTTACCCACAGAGGCTGCTGTAAGATCACAAAAACAAGCTGAAGCAGAGGACTGCAACCAAGTAGACATTGAGCATTTTGAAAAAATCCTGCCACAGTTGGTAAGAAATTGTAGGAAAAAAAAAAATCACAACAAAATGGCTGCTTTTATACAATTTTCTCTCCTCATTTTAGCTATTGGACTTCTAGCACAAACAAGCCACAAGATGGAGCCACACTGCTGCATACTTGGCCTATAGTTCTTTTCTTGTACAACCTATTTTTTTATCTATATTGATAATTCTTTGCGTGCATAATAACTCCAAGCATTATTATTAAATGCTTTACCTGTATTAGCGTGGTCTGGACAATTATTGCACAAACTTGTAGCACTCTGGGTTCACGTCTTGTCCGCTAACACCCACCTGTGCTTCTCAGTGCAACAACAGGTGCTTCCAGCGTGCTCCGTGGCGCCTTTCATCAAAGCATCCTGGAGCAGTTGGAAGCAATTAGAGTAATAAGGGCAGCAGCCAGTCCCTTAGATGATGACAAGTGCCAGGAAAAAAGGAGTACCCCCTCTGGCCACTTTGAAGTTCCCTTTTGCTGTCCTCCGATGTTTAGTTAGAGGTGGGGGAAGGGCAAAGGGGGACCTAGCTGCTGCACAGTGAAAGTTGAAGTGAGTGAGTGTGTGTGCATGTGCTAGCCAAACATGTCCAAGGACCACACGCATAGATATTCTGTTTGAAAGGAAACAAAACAAAACACATTGGAACATAGTCCAAGAGGAGCAGGGTGTAATTCCAAAGGTAAATAAACAAAAGAGGCGAGCGGTGGAGGTGCTTTTGCTGTTTTCATCACAGCACATGGGGAAATTGAGACCGCAAGGGAATGGGTAATGTTATTTCTAACCCCAGTATTCCTGATGGTTTTCCAAAAGGGGAGCATTTAACCAACCAGTCTTTGCTATGAGTCAGCATAGGAACTCACCTATTTATTTGTGTGGCTGTTGGTGACTCAGTGCGCTCAAATGATGCTTCTACTCTATATAGGCTAACATAGAAGTAACCACCTGTTATTTAACTGGGAACATTTTTATGCACATTCAACTCAAAGAAGTGTTCATGCCACTTACAGTATTTGCTGGGCAGATATGCAGCATTTACTTTTGCCAGTAGTCTGTTTTCCTGTTGAAATTTTTACTACAATTTTCAAAGAAAAATAATAGAAAGAAATTTTCAGTGTGATAAAAAAAATCAATAAATCTCAGTGTCACTGTCTGGATCAAGGAATTCTTGGAAGTTTGGAATTAAACCACTTGAGTATGTATTTTGCCATCAGAACCAGATGTACCAGAAATAAATTCCTTAAAACGTTCTATTATTATTACTATATTTTTTATTGGAATTATTTGCTTTTAGATAAACAAAAAACAAGTATGTCAAGTCCATTGTTATATTTTCTTGTTGGAAAAAAGCCACCATAAAGCCACCATAAAGCCGCTGTACTCATTTTATTGAGGTTTATTTGAATTGAAATGTATTTTCTCCCACCTTGTTTGTGTCTGGGTGGAACAAATAAGTTCTGAAGGCAGCTGTATGAAACAGTTAAAACAAAAATAAGGAGATGCAATGGAGAGAGTAATGAGTTAAAAGTTTTTCTTGACCAAACATTAAAGGCAGGGAGTGTCGACAGTTGGTTCAGACATTTTGGAGATGCTCTGCAGTGAGGAAGTTTTCCCAAGAGACAGACATTGATCCAACTCCCGCGGCCTATTGAACAGTCTGCATAATGGATCAAGCGACAGCTACTCATTGTTGGTGTTTATGAATCAAAAATTGTTTCATGTTTTTTATAGTATTTTTCTCATGTGATCTGTCAAAACCACAAATATGATGTAATATAATTAATATAATATAATAATGAAATAATGATGTCATTTTAAGGCTGTGTAGGAGAGATGTCTGCATTAGCAGTCCCACAGTTAAGAATATATCAGTTCTCACAACTTAATGCCCTGGTCCAGCTCATACACACTCCTCACACCTCTCCAACTTTCTGTCATGTCATAGGCCTTTCTTCTGTGGTCCAACTCTAGCCTCACCTCTGACAAGTATAATCTCCAAATACTTATTACCAAGATGACATTGATTTAGTACAAGCAGACAAATTGTAGAGCTTGCAAAAGATTTCTGAAAGTTTGGACATTTCCATGACCCTGGTCACTGTAATCACAGTACATGAAGTGCATCCTCTGCAATTACTTGAGTTCAAGAATTCAAAACAAATAACAAAAGTATAAAGTCAACTTCTAATTATGCATTTGGACACAAGGCAAATAAGCAGAGGCTGTAGCTATTCCCTGAGTCTGCGCCCCTCTTGATGGTCTATGGTCTAAGGCCAAGCCTCATTGAGGAGCCACAGGGCCTTCTGCAATGATTAGAACATACCTGGCAGTGGGAGCCACTCGGCCGCTTTGCTAGGATCACTCTTAAGTGGTTGTGGCGCTTGGCAGTTAGTCTGAGGCTGGAGATGGGCTGCTGCTGTGTTCTGTGGAGTGACTGGAGCTCTTGTCGCCACAGGAGGGGGAAAAGAATCTTCCGGAACCACTGAGGTGGATGATAAGGTCAGGGACCTTGGCATGCCGCTGTAGAGGCACAGGCTGTAAGGGAGATGCACTGTTGAGGCTTTAGTTATCTGGGGAGTCCTCCAGCACCTGTCTGTTCCCCGTTCTGTCCCGTCTGTGTGGTGGCCTATGGCAGAAACAGCAGATTAATCCTATTACATAACCTTCCAAAGTTAACCATTCAATTAGATTTAGGAGGGCGCAGAAAAAAACAATTCAGCCAACCAAGGTGCAGTCAAAATCAAAGAATGTGATGGTGTGGGGTATGAATCATTTACCAATTTGGCTAACAAGCCTAGGTCAAGAGAGCATTTCTATTTTTGGGTCCTGTTATAATTGTGAAATAAAAATACTGCAGTGTGACCCTCAGTGGAAATGAACCTTCAGGTCACAGACTTGGGCAGATTAAAAGGCTCATGTTTGTTGATATTTAAAAAATAATGACCAAAATCTCTTTGGTGTGGAGCAGGTGGCACCGGCCTGTGTTCTGCTTGAGAGACCTTCATTAGACAGATAAGGTGGCAGTAGCAGCAGGTTAATATTTATTTCACAAGAACTACAAAATTAAGAATCGTTTTCATGCTGAAAACAATCAACCTACAAAAGTTTCAGTAGATCTGGTTCCGATGTGGTGCTCATACATGCTCAAAACTCATTCGTCCAGTTTCAACAGTGGCAGGTGTTTCATGCATTAGGAGCCACACAAATGTTTACGACACAAAACTGATAACACCAAGGCTTTGAAATACATCTGTCCACAGGGGCACCGGAACTCTAAATTTGCCCAGAGACGCATTGGGAAAGCTTACATAGAGCACTCCATGTCTGATTGCAGGAGAGGTCAGGATGTAGGGTCAAAGGTCAGTGTCCTTGTTGTTAACAGTTTCCTGTCTGTCCTGTTTTGCAAACTGGAGCACTGATGCATTTCATCGCTGGATCAAAGCAGGAGGCTGTCTCATTCTGTGGAGCAGTGAGGTGTCACAATTGTGCCTCAAATCAGATCGGATACTCCTCTTTGGATTCAACTTTACTGTATCAGCATCTATGTACCTGCACTTATTTGACAAATATATTTAAAATGTTTAATATATTGACATAAGTAAGATGGGAATCTTTTTTCTATAGATTTTGCTCTTTTACAGAAAATATTGCTTTTGTCATTACTCCCATTTAAACACAAGTATAAAAGGAAGAACTAAACATAGACTAAACTTAAAAAACAGACATGTATAATAACCCCCAGCACCAATGTAGGGGGCAATTACTAGTTGGAGAATAGGTAACTTTTTATTCTCTCCCAGTCTTTTTACTCAGTACTATGTGGCAGGGCAACATGAAACCTACTCCAACATCAGCAGTAACACATTCAGTCACAACAAGCGGTAATGTCAGAACAGTAAATCAGTAAAGGAACTGTTCTGATTACTGTGCATAAATCAAGGATCCAGCACGAGTACCACTCCATCGCTCACTCTCATGTCTCACTGATACAATACAAAACATGTTTTACTGTGTTTAACTTCTTAATGTGGGAGTGGAATTGCATTTAAATCAGTGCCTTGCTAAGTATGTGTTTACAGATTTAAAGATTTACAATTATTAAATTAAAATAGCCATTAATTAAACACCAAGATGTTATTCCATTTAAGAGCAGTACCATGTCAAGTGTCAATGAGCCAATATCCTGTACCCTCAATAAGTCTGGAACGGGCCATGATATGTCTCATTGCACACAGTGAAAAGGCTTGGTGTCCGTATCCCTCCGCCACTGTCCAGGATCTCACGGCTCCATGGAGCTACAGCTGCCATAGGAACCAGGCATCCTTAGCTGTGGAGAGTGGAGACAAGTGTTAGTTTAGCCTGGAATTATTAGCCAGATTTTTCCCATTAAAGCTGCAAAAATAAACATTTTCCAGCTCATGATATGATTTTTGAAAATTCACTTAATAAACTGTCCATGCAATCAGTTCCATCTCTTTTACTTATTCTACAGTAAATAAGTATTAGTCATAGAAGTAGTATTGGGTTAATGGGCCATTTATGAGTCACAATATTTAAACCAGGTAAAATTAAAACAATAGCATCTGAGTACTGGGTATATATATATATATATATATATATATATATATATATATATATATATATATATAGTTTTTACAAAAACATTATTTTCATTTATCTGAAGCTCTTGGAAATAAAACATCTCTTTGTACAAGTTTAAGTCTATACTGCTACCCAGCCATGATTAATCCAAATGGTCAAGGTCATTTAACAGTAACATATAACTTAATTTGACCTTATACAAATGTTATTAGAAGGGAAGTCTGATGCTCGGAAACAAGGTAAAACAATGTAAAAGACAGAGTCATCAGCAGTCTGTCTGTGCTGCTGTATTTCTGATGTGATGACGGGAAGCTGAGCATGTTCGTCTGCAGCTGAACAAACTACTTAAGTCTATCTCCAACCACACACAGAATTCTCAAGTACAAAACACTCAAAATGTGGTAATGATAGCAATAGACTAACAAATCATGATTCCATTGTGAAAATTTCTGTGCCTTTCCCATTTCTACTCACTCTCGCATGATGGAGAAGATGATGGACAAGGTGAGACCAGATTTGAGCGTTCTTATGGGGGTCTAATTATACAAGCTTAAAGTAAACAATTCTGGTTCCAAATGTGGTTAAGAGAAATGAGAAAAAGAGGTGTAGACTGTCAATATACAAATAATACATAAAGTAAGGCTCTTTCTTAATGACAAACTAAAATATATATGTTTTTGAATCTTATTTCTGTGTGTTGTAGTCCAGGTTTATCCCTTGGTATAAAGACAGTATAAAGAAGTGGACTTTTTAAATAGACAAAATAGCGTAAATAACATCAGTCTATGCTTATTAGAGTCTTTTTATTGGCCCATACACTTTATTTATATTAAACTGTAGTATCTGGAGCCCTGCAGGTGAGCAAATTGATTTATTTAGAGACAAATCTTTGCACCCTTCTGCCCTCTTTTGGGTTAATCATTATTTAGCACAATCTAATTCATGATTTATTCAGATTTTGGACTAGCTTTAGACAAATTTTAGAGCTGGTTAAGTCCTAATTCATGCCTGATATAGTCCAAGTTTAGATCTGTTGATGCTCAGAAGTCCAAATATTATTTTAGGTGTTCTTGGAGACAAAAGTATGAGAACCATGCTTTATTGGATCCAATATATTTTCAAGTATAATGGAAGTAAAGAGACATTTGGCACAGTGTTATAACCTAGTCCACTAGACTACAGGGCACCACTTCAGAACAACCCTGAGTTGGACCAGATTGTGTTCATTGCTTAAAAAGGCAAATTAACATTCTACAATTACATGAGAGCTTATCCGATCAAAAATGCCATAGTTGTTTTCTACTCTATTCAGTACGTAGTGGGGCAGATGTTACAGTTGCATCCCTACACCTCACCGAAGGACATTGATGGTTAGCAGACTGTTTATACACTTTTCATTCATCTGTGTTATGACTGTTCTCAATTGGATCCATTTGCCAGCCAGAGCTCCTCCAGCATGTGCGGCCCATGCTCTCTTTAGCCTCTACTTGTTTCGTGACTCAACACAAGCAAATAAATAAAAAGTGAAGATGTATGTCTATGGGTAATTCATAGAGGATAGGGCCTGCTGGGTATAGGATCTAAACACTCTGATGACTGTATATATGGACTCAGTTAAACAAGTGACACAGGCTTTCATGTGCTAATTATGCTGGAAAACAAACCTGGCAACTTTGATCACTGTGACGTGAGTTTTTCTCTTTACAAACAATGAGAGGAATGTTGAAGGGATGTAAAGCAGGTGTAGCCTTCGCTCGAGTTTAGTTCATTAATTTGGCACGTAGCTAAAACCATTTCTACTATTACTCTTACAATAATATACAATCATACATAGAAGCAGCAAAAAGTAATATAATTTTGGTTGTAATACAGTAAATTCTTAGGTCTAGCCCAGGAGTGTCCCAACTATGACCTGGAGGTCATATGTGGCCCTCATACTATTTTTTGTTGGCCCTCAGGGATCCTGCTGAATTGGCCAAAATGATCATAAACAGTACTTTTACTGCAAATTTTAGTTCTATCCCTTCAACCTCAATAACATCTCATTACATGGTGATAAAGTAAAATTAGTGTTCCAAGACTTTCTAAGGTATTGTGGCTCTGTCAAGTCTATAAAATACATCTATCTGACTTAAACCATCAATCCACATTTTATGTACACTACCAGTCAAACATTTGGACACACTATCTCATTCAATGTTTAGTTTTTTTTTTCCAATTTTTCTCTAGTTTATTACCTTTGACATTGTATATACATACAGAATACATTAAATGTATGAAGTAAGTTATATGGAATTATGTTAAACAACTGTAATACTTTATTCAAATCCTCAAATTAGTCACCCTATGCTTTTGACTGGTGCTGTTTTTTTAGTCAGTCAAATTTATTTTTCTTTCTACATTTTATATACATAAGGATTTGGTTATATATTTAGAGTTATATGAGTTACTAGAGTTATTTAACTTTTTCCCTTTGTTACATAATTCCATACATATTACTTTATATTAGGGCCGGGCACGTTAACGCGTTAACTTTGCGTTAACTAATTAAGTCATTAACGCCGACAATTATCTTAACGCCGTTAACGCAGTTTTTATTATTTATTTATTTATTTATTTAATTGTAAAAGTCTGTTTCTCAGTGGCTTTTATTTTGAAAAAGTCCACCGCGAGCGTTTCTTTAAGTTTGTCGTCTTTTCTTTACACTTTTTTCACTTTTTTCTGACAACGTGAGATGCAACGTGTTCGAGCCTCCGCGAGCCGCGGGCCCGGCCGCGGTTTCGGCCGCGGGCTCCGGCTCTGGCCGGACCAGCCGTACGCTCTGAGCTTGTTTCTTTAGTTCAGTGTTGGAGTCACTGATTTATCCAGATACCATTGGAAGAAAAAATGATTGGTCCATTTCCATTCCATTATATTAACCCTTTGTTTCCCAAGAAATATCAGTCCAAGTTTACAACAATGATCTAGAAATTATTACTAGTGTAGTGTTCATTACTCACGGCATAAAAAATATTCAATAAATATATTAGTAGTACAAAAGTCCATTCAATATTTTTTCTTGAGCCTTCAAAGAAAACCTTGAAGACTCTGAGGGTTCCCCTGTGAAAGAAATGCTGTTTGCACAACAAATGTGTGGCTCTTTCATTTACATTTCCAATAAAAGTGCACTTTACAGTACTTTACTTTTTAATTCATTCATTGAATGAATTAAAACAACAAACGGGCGGCAGTAGCTCAGTTGGTAGAGCATTCGCCCACTGATCTGAAGGTTGGCGGTTCGAATCCAGCTCTCAACATAAACATCACAGGTTGAGTGGTCAGATCCACTGACCCACAGGTTGGCTGGTGTGATTCCAGCTCCCACAGATGAATGCTGTCATTGTGTCCTTGGGCAAGACACTTAACCCACCTTGCCCACAGTGTCTGCATAAACTGGTGTGTGAATGGGTGGGTGGTTCCTTGTTGTAAAGTGCTTTGATCACCTTGAAGGTGGAAAAGCGCTATAGAAAAATGTGACCATTTACCATTCATTGGTTATGCGATTAATCACGATTAAAATTTTTTATTTTTGCCCAGCCCTACTTCATATATATTGTCATATATTTGATGCCTTCTGTATCAAATCAAATTTAGAAAGTAGTGAACATATCGAAGAAAAAAACCTTTGACTGGTAGTGTACATGTGTGCATAATATGGTTTAATTCTGATCAAATCCATTGTTCTTGATTTGGAAATAACCCAGACCCTATCGCATGTATGTATTGTTGCCTTTGATAGTCTACTAGCGCTGTCAGAAGCATAAAGACAAATCTGTAACTAAAGCCACTTTAGCTCCACTGTGTAGGCACCCCATAGACGCCCCCTGAATCCATGTCCCGTGGAGCAGGGTGGTCCTGTGGTGACAGAACAGGCCCTCTCCCACTGTGGTTCTTTACAGTGGCATCAGTAGCAGCAGTGGACAAAGTGCATTTGCAGCAAAACATAACTTCTTGTAAGGATCAAACTATCAAAACTATTTCTGCACTTTTGTGGTTAATCTTACAGTACATTCTCATTTGTATGACTCTTAAGAGGGTCCACATTCCACTTCCGGTACTTCACTTCAACCTATTCCTGTTAATCTTATTCTTTATTCATCCTGTTTTCCCTCTTAACCTCCACAACACCACAAACCTAAACAAAAAGTCCATCTGATAGAGCCCACTTTCTCCAACAGCACCTAGGCAACAACATCAAAGGCCTCTGGTGGAAATGAGGAGTGGTCCAACTCAGACATAAATGCACAGTTTTGTTTGATTTAATATAATGACACTTTATCACTGTGAAAAACAAGGTGCCCCAATGTCTTTCATAAAGACAACTTGTAAAATACCAATGCATTTTTAACATGGCAATTCATGAGAAAAGATGATGATTCATGAGTAAATAGTAAAATGTATTAAAAAATAATGAACAATCTTTGATGTCACTAAGCAAGTATTTTATCATCAGACTGCAGCGAAACTGCAAAGTAATTTCACTCCTCAGATATGAATTAAAGAGCCCATATTACGCTATTTTCTGATCTGTTATAATATTGTTTCCTCATCACAAACATACCTGGAGTTTTTTTTGTTTGTTTCATTCACTTTGATGTTTAACACAAAAACCCTGAATATTTATGCTGAATTCTTCTCTCAGACTGAAAATACGCTTTTCCAATTTGTGATGTCATGTGGTAATAC